TTTTAAAAAATTAAACTATTTATTTAAAAGCTCAGAGCTTCAGTGAATCTCTGTAGTGAGCTGAGTTGCTGTACAGAAAATCACATCCATCTCTTTGTGAAATAGCCCACGGCAGAGGGAAGGCTGCCCTCACCCGGTGTCCCCCCATCAGCAAACTTGGCCTCCCGGGGCCCAGGCAGCTGGAACAGCGGGAAGAGGTAGCTGGTGTGCCAGTCCCGGTCCAGGTTGGGGTTCAGACCCGTCTGCTCACTCCGCGGGGCATTCCTCGGGCTGTACTTGAAGCGCAGCTCATAGTTGACCTGGAGGGAGCACACAAAGGGCATCACAGGTGGGACAGAAAGGACTGCTGTCTGGGTGGCAGAGGGTGGGAGGATGCCATCCCCCCACGTCCTCATCCCCCCTTGGCTCTGCTCACCTGGAGGGGCAGCGGGGCCGTGCTCTGACGGAAGCGGTGCTTGAACACGACGGCAGCCAGCACGCTGCCCGAGCGGTTGTCCGACTTGACGTACTCCTCAAAGTCCTTCTCCGAGGCAAAGCCCTGAGCTGCGGAGGGGGGAAAGACAGATATGCAGGCACAGAGCACGGCAACTCAATGCAAGCTGATGCTCAACCATCACCGAAAATAAAATTTTGGTCCAGGACACAAGGGATGCGCTCCAGCCAGAGGTGTGAAACACTGCTGCTGTCAGATACAGGGGATTTATATGGGACGCTGCTGTACCCATCACGGGGCACGCAGACGATTCCTCCTCCTTGAGAGCAGGAGTCAGCTCTTCTTTCAGAAAAAATCCTAACATCTTCAGTTTGGAACATGAAGCGCTAAAATCTTCTGTGCAACAAGATTTCCAAAAATACTTTGTCTCAGGGAAGCGACAGCCACATTCTTTAACTATTTTAGGGCAGTATTTTTCTAGATGGAAACTGCAACAAAATGTGATCAAAAATCAAAACAAAATCCCGTAGTTTTACTGAAAACAAAAATAAAACCATTGCCTTTAAGTTCTGATAAAATTGATGCATCCCTGGAATAGAGCATCAGAATTTATCAGAGTAAAAATTCATACCAATTTCTGGGGTGGAAGCCGCAGCCCCCAGCCCCTGCTTACCTCTGATGCTGATGGGTAAAGCTCTCTCCACTGCCTCAGCAATGCTCCTGACGGCGCTGCTGTTGGAGGGGACATAAGCCAGCTCCCAGGGGTTGCTGGGGTGCCGGCGGTAGAAGAAACCTGGCAGGTCATCCACGGACTCGGCGGGGTAGATGGTGGCATTGGGGTGGCTGACGGAGTGCACCCGGTGCCGCAGCGCTATCAGGATGGCGGCAAAGAGCAGAGGCAGGCAGATTTCAATGACTGTCACCAAGATCTGCCGTTTCTGCAGCAAACAAAGATGTAAAAAAGTGAACACTGAAGGTAGATCCAACACAGTAACAAGGTTTAGGGCATGCAAATGCCACGCAGCAGAAGCATTCTTGTATTTCCCAAGGTTTCACAACCTGGGTTTTTCCAAAGCTCAGGAATGATACTGCACCGATTCCCACATCCTTCCAGACCTTCCAGCCAGGGTGTCCCCTTCCCTAAGCACCGCTCCTTCTCAAAGCACCCTCCTTTAGAGCTTTCCCTGCCACACTGCGGGTTTGAATGAGCTGAGCTGGTTGTTTGCCCTTTCCCTGTGCAACAGGGCTCTGTCCAGGAGCAGGCAGCACTCGGGGCTGGCCTATACCACTCCTGCAGGCAACCACAGCGATGCACCTCCTGCAGAGAGGACCGTGCCATGGGACTAGCCACAGCCGGGAGAGTGAAGAGAACAGCTTTCACCAAAGCAGAGCAACCTTGCCCAACACTTAACAGGGCTGGGAACTAAAAATACAGCAATTAAATGAAAGGCTGGGACTGAGTGAGCAGGGGGAAGGTAAAGCAGAGCAAAGCTAACACAGTCAGTGAAGTTTTTTCTGCCAGAGCTTAGCGGCTGCAGGCAGCAGGACACAGGCTCTGTGTCCCAGCCCAGGACAGGACCTGGCAGAGCCTCTGGCTACAGGCATCGGTGCCCTTGCACAGGTTCCCACGTGCTCAGCCTTCAGCCTGAGGCCTGTCTGCACTAAACACGGTGGCTCATTTATTATTTTTAATTGAGGTTCAAGCAACCAGACAATGAACTCAAGTCTGGTGAATGCACTTGGGCAGCCAAGCTGGAGCACGACCCTCCAGCAGTTTTCCCCAGGGCTACCTCTCCTGCAAAATTCCCACCAGCTACTAACACCTGCCCCCAACCCAGGTTAATTAGCATTTAAAACTCTGCTCATCCCAGGGGACCTGGGGTCATCTCTGACCAGAGGGGCAGGGGGAGCAGCAGTCCTGACCAGTGTCATGCACACCCATGACCCTGCAGCGTGACCCCCCCCAATCTGTTTTACAGCAGGAGCTGTGACATGCTGCTGACTGATGGATTTATGCCCATAAAATCACTGCAGAGGTCACACTCGCTTGCAGGGAGGGGAGTGGTGAGCACTGGGCCGCTCCCACTGAAGCTGTACCAGTCAGCTGGGATGGGGATGGGAGAGGGAGGCAGCACCCAGAGCTCAGCTGGGCACACCACATCCCACCATGGGCAGGAAGGCACGGCTCAGCCCTGTGCCCAGCACAGCGGCAGCAGCCAGGCAGGTCTGGGTAGGAGAGGTGAAATCTGGACCCAGCCGCCTTATTTTCTCCTGCAAACCAAGCTGCGTTCACCCAAGCCCAGCCCAGGTGCAAGCGCAGCACAGCAGGCCAAACCTCAGTCACTGCAGTGACAGCTAATGAGATGTCCCTGGCAGCAGGGAGCAGCTCTGGGCGCAGGGATTCACGGCTGCTCACTTGGAGCATGTGCCCGAAACAGAAGCAGCGGTATTAACCTCTTCTGAGGGCTCTGGCTAAGACAGGCTTTACAAGACCAGGGGAGTTTTCTACCCTT